TTATTGTGCAGTGAGGATAGTTTGTCATTATTACCTGTCTTTATTTATTGTGCAGTGAGGATAGTTTGTCATTATTACCTGTCTTTAGTTATTGTGCAGTGAGGATAGTTTGTCATTATTACCTGTCTTTATTTATTCCAGTTTTAGGATCAACAAGAAATGACAGCATGGCCATTCTGTACATGTGGTCAGACACGCTCTCAGGGTCGGTCACATTTTTGAGAACCCAGCCTGTTCTTTTCACCCTCTGCAAATAAAGACAACTTATTATAATTTTAATTCACCCCAATATCAAAGTGTGACTATATACATATATATCACTTCGACATGAAATTACCTAACAGGTCAAGTTTGAATCTGTGTTACCATGATAACCTCAAGTGAACACATGTTCACACAGCATCAAAATTTGTAGTATACTAAAGAATTTATCATATTGCATAATTTAAATGTGATAATTTGAGTGCCTGTGAATGTGTTATTATCCCATTCATGACAATTAAGGGCCTCCTTTCCTCTATCTGGTACAACTGTTTTTAAATGTTTTTTTGGGGGCTATAGCGATCTTAGCGGACCTGCACAATTTTATGCAGGCCTTGCACCTTGTACAAAATGTAACAGGAAAAGAGAAATGCAACAGCCAGGACCTCTGGACCATGAACGATGGCTACTTGGTCGTTGGCGATCGACCCAGCCCAGAGCTCCACTAAATAAATAACTTATTGCCTATGTTGTTACACATGCATCGATCTAGCTTGTAGAATACTCCAGCAATGTCAGAGGTTTAACACAGTGTTAGATTTTTGACAGGTACCATGCAACTGCACAGTTCCAACAAGAAATATCGTTAAAAGTGATAAATGGTAGAGTTTTGGTGTATGTAGTTACAATTTAATTTTGGCTATTCCCCTAATGCTAGAATTTTTCAGGTTATACCATATCACCTTATTAAAAAAAAAAAAAAACACAAAAAGCAATCAAGTTTTATATCTCAATGTTTGGTACGTTTGTAATTCTAACTTCTGATTGGTTGAAGTTGCTTGGCGATGAAATTACTGCGCAATGTTGTGTTTTGTGTTAAATTATTTTGTTTTCTCAGAAATTTATAAATATTCATATAAACTAGGAAGTGTTCTCTGACTTTTTAGAAGATTCACGATTTATGCAAGTGCACACATTTTCTTCAGTATATAATATACTGTATAACCTCAAAAATAGTCATAGTTATTCCTTAAATAAGTATAAAATAGTTGTGTACCTGTGAAATTAGCAACTGTGTTAACAATGTTAACTGATCCTGTATGAGTCAACAGATGCAATGGATCCCAAAATGATTTGAAGCAACGTTAACTCTACCAAATCCAGCTTAAAAATTGCTTTTAAACCTTTTTTTTTATATCATTTTTTTTTTTATAAAAACTGATCCACTACGCTGGCCAATGGAATAAGGCATATGTAACTGTGGTGCCACCTAGCGTGTCATTCAACATAAGGGTTTTTCCTAGAAATTAAATCTCAATTCCATTGTACGAAAGTTATTCACGACTTTGCTGAAAAAGAAAACAACAAAGCTGACATGCAGCCTCTTACCGGAGTATAGCTAACTACTTGCTAGGACGTCCTCACATATTATATAAGAATGGTCCGAATTGAGTGATCAGAGATATTCGCCCAATCAAAATAATTTTGAAATGATATAGTCCAGATTTTTTTAGATTAATTATTGGAGCATAGCTATACCTACATGTATATATATCATGTAAAATAAGGTAAAGGTAAAATAATTAAAACTTAAGTGTATGCTTCAGCCTTGTACTGCTGTGAACTGTGGAATCTAACAAACACAGAAATTTTAATGTTAGAGAGAGCGCAACACTTAATTGTCAAATTCATTCAGGGTTTCGAAACCAAAACAAGAACCGATAGGTGTACTGGCCTTCTGGGTTGGACAAGTATAGAAGGATGTATAGATACTAAAAAGTTATTGTTTTTCGGTAGGATATGCAGATTACATAGTACGACACTCTCGTCTCGTCTTTTATTTACAATACTTTTTATTGTAAATCTGGATGCAGAAAATAATGTCAGGTATGGTTTTATGATATCCTAAGGATTCTAAGAAAATATAATTTATATGATCCGGTTCAGAAGTATATAAATGAGGGATGGTTTCCTCTTAAAACACATTGGAAAATGCAGGTTAAAAATGAAGAAAAAGTATGGTTAAATAGGATGTGTAATAATACTGACTTCTGTAGGTTTGTTTTAATACATGACAAGTTAGTTCCACACCAGCTTTGGAAATTATGTAAAAAGTTCCCAGGAAATAGAGAAGCTGTTTCTTACATGTATAATGAAATTAATTGTTACCATGAGGTGGTTGGCTCATAATGAATTATGTCATAAATGTGGTCAGTTTTATAAAGATGTTGCCATCCACATAGTTCTACAGTGTAGTTCTACTGACGAATTAAGGGACGAATTATGGTGTAATATAATTATATTAGCGATATATTGTTCAGTGTAATTATTTGCAGGACTTAAACGAAAGTCAATTATTTCATGTTCTGATCCGGGGGGAATTTTTCTTATAATTTGTGTAACTCAGACCTAGAAGAGTTCCTAATGACGTCTGTTAAATTAATTTTTCGAATGATAACATCATATTACAAATGACACAATTACTACATCTATGCTGATTATTTTCAAATAATCAAAAGGGCCTGATACTGCTAGCTTAAATTATATGCCCTAATATGTAACAACATAAATTTATTGTAGAATATGTATACTAATTTTGATAATTGATGTTTATTTGATGATTGTATTGTGATGCCCTATCATTATAATCTTCATTCTGGAGGAAATAAAGGAGTATATAACATTAACAGCTAGACAGTTGGTCGACTATATTTTATGGGGCATGATTATGCGTCGTGCCGTGATTATGCCATTACGCAAAAGTATACGTTATACGTCTTACATTGTCGGAGTAATTAGGAGTAGCCTGTAGATGTATAAGTGAAAGGCACATGTACTTGTAGATGCATTAGGCATATTGCAATAATGAATCCACATGCATTACAGGTCCTTAGTGACTATATACTGATAGATTTCTTATGGGACTCAAAGAATTTTGGAATATACGGTAAGTTAGCCATAGACACTTGTATCTGGTTTTTCTAACACATAGGATTTTGATTCAATGTGTGTTGAAAGTATCCAATACAAACGCCTAAGAGTCAACATAGTGGGACCCACTAAAACTGTCCCAGTGGAAAATGTAATAATGTAAATCAATTTAAAATTGATCACTGTGATCAGAGACGTCTCTGCTGTGATTGAAGCTAATCCTGCCTTAGCTATCTATATTTTCTTTACAATTATGCAATACCTTCAGTTGGCCTATTAATGACATAAATTCGAAGAGTTTCCCAAGATTTGTAGACATTTTCCCTCTTTGAATATGTATAGGCCAAAATATGAAAGCTGTCAACCGGTACCCCCGATCGCAACAAACAACACACGTGGTTCCTGTTTAAATGCATGGAACACAGTTTTTATAGGAACGTGGGCTTTTGTAAGAAGCACTTTGATTGGACAGCGGTGTGACGATCTAGCAAAATGGCTGCGCTCATGAAAAGTAGCCGTGCACTTAGAAACATTGTTAAATATTATTCAGCGACTTCTGCAAAGTTATATTCGTCCGAAAGTGACGGTACAGTCTCAAATGTAGGTTTTGAAAATACGGATTACCAAAATGTCAGAAGATCAGATGCTGCAGGAATCAGTTTGACTTCGAATGAACCTACCACTGGGCAGAAATTCGCATCTCTGTTAAGAAAGTCGAAATTTGTTCAGATCGGTGATATGAGAAAGACTGTTGTCGTTGGAGAAATATTTGAAGTAGTTGAAGATGATATGTACATTGACTTTGGATGCAAATTTTACTGTGTTTGCAGAAAACCGAGAAGATTACTTCAACAGGATCCAAGGTAAAACTTAGTTGGGAACATCAACATGCATACATGCATCCTCGCACTTCAGCAGGTCCAGTAGTGCAGTGTAAAAAGATCCACCTATTATTTAAAGCTGTATTGAGCTATATTTTCTAGGATTACAGTTTTAATAAAAATAAAACAAAGTACCAATGTTGTCTTAAAAAATCATAGATTTAGGGGGGGGGGGGGGGGGCGTCACTGTGTTAGCTAATTCCTGTAGGAACTCTATCTAAATCAGAGATTTATAACGATAGAAACTAGGAATTATGTGTTAGCCTGAGTTTCCTCTTGCACTGACACCAGACTTCGACATTTTAACAAATGTCTGTGTGTGGCCAGAGCGCACTACCATATGAATATGTGGAATTCTCTGACACAATTTGGTATAGGAGTGTTACAGGAAAAAGAATAGTGTGCTTCCACCGGGGATCAAACCATCATCTCCAGCTTCCTAGTCGAATGCTCTACCACTGAGCTAAAGGGAGATTCCCTCTAGCGTTAAGCTAAAAGGCGACCTTAATCCTATGTACAATTAAACCCTGCCACACTCCTCCCCCCTTTTTAAATGTGTTCGCCCTCGAACACCACAACCTAGGTTCTAACTCCCTGTCACTACAGGGAGGGCCACGGACATCATTTGTAACAGGAAAGAGAATAGTGTGCTTCCACAAGGAATGGAACCCTCATCTCCAGGTTCCTTATATATAGTCGGACACTCTACCACTGAGCTAAAGGGAAATTACCTCAAACTTAATCCTATGTCGATTAAAACCTTCCACAGAAGAGTTTTGTGTGCTGGCAACAAAAATCTACTATGACACAATACATTTCTCGCATATATTATATACAACACATATGCATGAAAAATGTATAAAGTCAAGTCAATGGGTATCCCCATATTTCTCTGCATCATTTTGATACTATATGTACAAGTACATACTGTACACACACTTCAGGGATAATCCTGGCCATTGACCCTTCAAAACTAAAATTGGTCCCTCCGGGATCCATGTTCCCATTTTGTTTTTAACTTTACATAGAATGGCCTGGCCCCTCTTAATTTTGATATTGAAGAAAATGACCCGGACTGCTCTCAAATTCCAGGGTTTTCCCTGTATAATTGGCATGTCTTGTCATTAATACAGTGATTCTGTATACCTAGAAATTTTGTACTGGTTTAAATTTAATGCATTAATACTGTAGACCTGGATTTTCTGCTGAGTGAAACTTTCGTCCTTCACCAGTACAATCTGTATTAGTCCTATAGGCCTGTGTTAACTCCACCCTTCACATGCGATTACTACACACTATATTTTGAACAAATAATCATGATAAGTTTGCCCTTGTGAAGGAAGCAAGTACACCAAAGGATTTTGCATGACTGTCCAAGAGATTTTTAGACTCTTTCATGTCCAGGGGTGTAGGATAGGGAAATTCCACCCGAGGGGTTTTAAATTTTAAAATCCTGATCATGAAAGAGTATTTTTGTCTCATTCCAACTACCAAATAAGCTCAGAAACCATGAAAATACATTTGGACTGGCTACAATTTTGAAAATATCAATTTTTCCCCCGAGCTTTTTTGACAAAAACGAACTCATCAGCGAGATTTACCATACCTCGTATTACAAACAGAGTTTGCGCAGAATTATTTGTTTTCCCTATTGCGGCATCAGTGTTTTCCAAATTCGTAACATCACTTCATTGTTGAGCCATTGTGATATGTAACGTCACATGAAATGGGATGTAAGATAGAGATTTCCTACACCCCTTTCTTACCCTGGACAGCTCTATCTTACACACACGGAAATGAGTGATATGAACTTGTTTAGAGGCGGGATGAATTAAAAAATGTTCAAGATGAGTCCATACATGTGTATTCCATCCCCAAATCTTTCAAATAGAAAGTAGAGGAACATATGACATACATTATGTAGACATGTAGTCCGAATTATTCTGACGTTTTATCGACTTTTTTTATATCGGTCTGTCGTCGATTAACTTCGGAACTCCGGTCCTCTATAATATGCAGGAAATAAGCGACCTGTGACAATTTGTTTCTAAAATATCAGTTTGAAGTGCCACCCAGGCGCGGGTCGCATATTTCCCGCATATTATAGAGGGCTGGAGTTCTGACGTTAATCGACGACAGACTGATATAAAAAAAAGTTGATAAAACGTCAGATTAATTCGGACTAGTAGACATGATAATTATTGCGTTAATACGTTTCTGCAACATGACTGTAAATGATTTCCATTATGATTGCATCTGTTGACCCCCTCTGACAATTCAGGGCTAAAGGGAAAAAAGGGTCTGTCCTTTTGTAGGCTAATTATCTAGCATGGACGTATATAGTTATTGCCAGATATATATACTGTAAGCTGGTTTCAATAGTTTGATTATAATTTTTGCCGTTAAAAGAATGGGGTTCCAAATAAAAGCAAGCCAAGTGATCAAAATTTGGTTACACATATAAAAAAGTTGCACCAAAAATCGGCATTCCTTTTAAATTGATGGCTTTAGCCTTATAATGCACAAAAATGCATGTAACAAGGCCACTATACATTAAGTTGTACATCAACTACATGTCCACAAAAAGTTTAAGGCTCACACGTTCGTTCCATGATACATGCATGTATGTGTCAAAGCTGCTGAATTTGGGCCATCTCTTAAATACATAAAGGGCAGTCAACATGTTATGTATATTGTTGGAATGATTTACCAGTATATTTTTATAGATATAACAATTCAGCATTCCTGAACAGAAAAGGAAAACAGAACAACACAATAACGTTTATAAGCTGACTTCAACCTCCCACACATGGTCAAACAACACATGGCAGAATACTGAAAGAACTTAAGGATATCACAGCACCAATACTAACAAAAATATTCCAAACATCACTTAATACAGGAACATTACCCATCCCCAGTGACTCACTGGAAACGCGCCAACGTAAACCCCATATACAAAAAAAAGAGACAAATACAACCCAACAAACTACAGACCAATATCACTCACATGTATTTCATGCAAACTCCTAGAACACATCATCACAAGTGCAACCATGAAACACTTAGAAGACAACAAAATACTGCACGACCTACAACATGGCTTCCGCACATCAGGATCTTGTGAAACACAACTCATTACATTCATACAAGACATTGCACAGAACCACAACAACAACAAACAGACATTATAATAATGGACTTTGCCAAAGCCTTTGACAAAGTCCCACACAAACACTTACAGTACAAATTCATATATTACGGCATCACCGGAACCACACTAACATAGATAACAGACTTCCTATCACAACGCACCCAAACAGTAGTACTTGAGGGCAAACACTCCTACAAAGTCCCAGTAACATCTGGAATGCCTCAAGGAACATGTTTGGCACTAGTCCCCTTCCTCATATACATCAATGACTTCCCCGAATACATATCACACAGTACACTAAGACTTTTTGCAGACGACAGCATACTATACAAAACAATCAACAACAAAGACAACACGACAAAACTACAATGAGATTTAGATGCAGCTAATAAATGGCTCATGAAATTCCACCCAGACAAATGCACCATACTCACTATATCACCAAAACGCACACTAATTAAACACCAATACACAGGTCCATCATGACCACACACTAGAATCTGTAACTTTAAACAAATATCTTGGCATCACACTTCAAAACAACTTAAAATGGGACAAACACATTAACAACATCACAGCAAATGCAAATAAATCACTAGGCTTTCAGAAACGCAATTAACCTAAACAAAAATCACCACATAAAAGGACATGCAAACAAGGCCATTGTAAGACCAAAACTTGAATACTGCTCTTCGGTTTGGGACCCTCATTATACAAATAACATAATCAATTAGAAAAAGTACAACAAAGAGCACCACGTACGTAACGACCTAAACAAATACCATAACACAAGCTCAGTCACAGACATGATACATAACTTGCAATGGCCAACACTACACACACAGAGCAAGAACACGCATTATTCTTCTCTACAAAATAATACACCAACAAGTAGCAATACACACCAACTATCTCATCCCGGCAGACACAGAACACGTCAAAGACACGACCTTATAATTAGTTACAGACATATCTAGATCTACACATCCAAAGACACATACAGACACTCATTCCTTCCATCTACACCATAATACAGTGGAACCTCCTACCCAAAACAATAGTCCAATCAGAAACACTATCAGAATTCAGGACATGGACCACATATAACATAATGGAACATCGAACATATACAAAACCTACAACATAAATTACACTCACTGCTATTAACCTGTTTTTATCCTATAGCAAATAATAAAAATTAAATAAAAAATTACTGTACATAACAACACACTACAGCAAAAGACCAAAACTCCAAAAATTCTGTAATCGTCAATATTGACGGAGGAAGGTTTAAAGATAAAGATGAAGAACTGGATGGTAATTCAGGCGCATAGGCCTCTTAATTTAAACTTGAAATTTGATATTTGAAAGGAATAATAATTCTACCACTTTACTTTGAAGTTTTGTTATTCTATATTTTTAGGAAATTTCAAAGAGGTTCAAAAGTAAGGATTCTGCTCCAGGACTATGAGATGACAGCATCATTTAGTGGCACCAGCAAAGATGTTACTTTACTGGAGTCAGACGCCACACTGCTGGGATCAATGGCTCCTGAGAATCGCATGGAGGATAAAGTTGACATATTTAGGCATAGGACAGAGTCTAAGGAAAGGACCAATTGGGAGGAGAAAGAGCCGTCATTTGATATACGGACTTACATATCGGAAATCAATCAATCATAGACCTTCACCTTTATGCAGATTTGATTATATAATCAACAGAGACCCAAAATACGACATATAAGACCGTTAAGAAATTTATTATGTAACAAGATTTGGGTTGCCTTGCCTTGGTTTCTTCATCAGGCCATCCTTTTAAAATTGTTTTCAGCAGTTTTTCTGCTTACATATTTTCCAGTGGTTAGGATTTTAGGTAGGAAATTTTCTATTTCAGTTTAGAAGTCTCATATTTCTATATTGAAACCCCAAGTGTCGGTCATTTTTTTATCAAGTTCTGTATTTTACCAGAACTCCCCCCCCCCCCTCCCCCCAAAAAAATCACCAATACAAAAAAACAAAAACAGGAAAAAGGTGCCTGCAAACAACTTTTTGAGGATGGCCTCAATATACATATTGTACAGATTTGTAATATTATTAAATTTCTTTGAGACATCAAAAGAGTGAGAGTAGACCTTTTCTGTATGCAGTAAACTCCCCATATAAAGAAGTCAAAAGGGCCATCAAATTTCTTTCGTTTTTAACCGGTTCTCATCCTAGATGGATGAAGCCAACATATCAGGGGAGGTGACTCCCCCCGCCTTACACTGAGTTGTAGCTATATTTGATGTATATCAGAATAACACAAGGACACAAATTAACCAAAAGTTGATTCATTTCCTTAGCTTTCAGGCAACGTTCAAAGATTTGTTTCATAGCTTTTGCCTAAGATGTATTTTGACCTATTGAACATTCAGATTGCTGTTTTCTAGTGTTTCTTGATCTCAATGTGTCCTGAATGCAATAATAATCTATAAAATACGAGGTTGTAAAGCAAACTGTTGAGATAATTATTGAGTGTTAAATGGTGTTACGTTAAATTAGTAGATTTGACACCAGTTCTGTCAGTGTGTAGAATCTAATGTGGAATAAAATGAATGTGTGAATTATATGTTCGTACATAACTATAGATGGTGTATTTACATCCTGAGAGTGAACTTGATTTGTGAAAATCATTAATAAATTGATTTTTTTTTACTGTATAGAAAACACTGTTTTGGTGGGTTTTTTATACTTTAATATTTTTTCGTAATGTTTCGAGATTTGAACAATTACGTCAAAAAATTTGTTTGAATGTGCGTTATTACTTCAGGGAAAGGAGAAAACCCTAAATTGTAACTGTTTTCCTTTTATTGCTCCCTATAATTTGTAGAAAAGGGATTAAAAGATGAAAAACTGTAAAAAGGTGAAAATCCCTTTTCTACAAACTAGAGAGTACTAAAAAGGAAAATGGTCTTTCGCTTCGAAATAATGAAGGTTTTCAACCTGGAGGTTTGTTGTTTGATCAAAATTTGTTGTAATTTCTCCACGGTCATTAAAGGGGAGATAACACATACAACATTTAATGCATGCACAAGGTACATAACTCCGCCGACACTACTGAAAACATCGCTATGAAGGACACGTGTTTTGATAGTGTGATATATTATAGAAAAGTTGGCTTCTTTTGAGAATGTGAATAAAGTGTTTCGGATTACAATTAAGCGACGGATTTTGAACACCATTTCTGAAAACGCTTACCAGGCTATCATACATTTATGTATTTAATTCAATGAGCAACAAGTTTAAAAGGTTAAATATATATAAAACTGAATAAAAAAAATAAGATTAAGCAACATTTAAAATATAAACTAAACAATCATCCAATGTTCATGGCTATCTTTTCATCAAATGTGGGAGAGGTTGGACTACGAATCCATAACCCAGGAAAATTTCCACAATATCATGTTTGACAAACAAGCAGTTTTTGAGAGAGAGAAATAAGATAAAATAAATAATAATAAAACAATGACAGGAACAGTTCACTTAAAGCTCTTCGGAGTTTATTGATACCTGTCCTTTGTTGATAAAACGATGTATAAGGCAAATATTAAGAACTTGATTGAAATATGTCTTTCGGCCAAAAGACCACATACTAGTGTAAGGCAAATAGCAAGAATGTCTTATAACTGACATTGAATTTAAAGTTTGTTGTTTTGACTCTGGGTATTGACATGTATGTGTAAAAGGAGATATACGGTGTAAGGACATAGGATACGGATCGTTGCGGCCATAACAACGGTAATTAAAACGGCGCAGGAATAGAGGTAAAATTAAGTTACATTTTATTATAGTGTCGCATGTTATTACATACATAAAACAGGTACATTTCAGAAATTCAGGTAAAACCATATTAACACCCAGCGATTACTGACTTATGAGACACTTCAAAACAATTTTACATTTGTCATCACACTTAATTTAAAATACAATGCGATATTTTTTTTTTAGTAAAATACATGCATAAAAAATATTATATATATATAAAACTATTCAGAGGTTATATATACACTTATCTCTCCTTCTAAACAGGTTTTGGAAGAATTTTGTATAAATTATTGTGTGATAAAATATAGCACATTTTGTTTCAGTCATTCTTATTTCTGAAATTTTCATTACTTTTTCATTTCGGGTACTGTAAAAGTGGGAATTTCGCGGTGTGGGAGTTCTCCCTTTTATCGCGCTGAGAAAATAAGTGCGAAGACATCCATGACTTGATCTTTATATAGAATTTAGAGAGTTTAAGAACCTATGCCAACGCGAAAACTTCTACACGGATATATATGAAAGAAAACGTCACCGTAGGAACATTTCGACAAAGAAAAAATACTTTTACAGTATATGAAGATCATTGTTTGTAAATTCAAATTGTTTTCCATATTAAGTTCTTGATATGAGTATACTATTTCGCCGTTACATTTTTATGGGAACTATATACATGTAGTGTTATTTTATTGTTATGTGTATCAGTGCATTTAGTTCCTGGATAATTCTTCACACAGCTAGTTTGGTCTTTGTCTTGCGATCGGTAACCGACACAATGGGAGTCTGACCACACAGAAATTAAACCGCATCCAAAATGCAATTTAGGGACTGAAATGATATAACCATTGAATGATTGTTATATCTTCTGGATAGTCCAATTTTCACTAATTTTTGCGGCATATTTCCTGAGAGAGTGTTGTGACCAATTGCCATATTGTCCTATATTAAGGTTTTACTTTATACACAGACAATGTTCGTATTAAACATGTCGCAGCGTTTCAAGACCAACTAGTCCCTTGGTCAAGACACAGGGTCACGTTACAATCACACATAAACGTACAATGTGTGTTGTGACCCATATCAGTATAGCATATGTGTGATTGTAACGTGACCCTATGGTCAAGCTCTGACTAAGTGAGCGATTTATATTGTTTACCTGTACAACGATGTGACGAAATTGTATATTTCATGTCACTCGACCCGGGACGTTTCGCCTGTCATACTCACTGTGTCGAATAGAATATTGATATAACATATTTCGAAACTGATTAATCATATGGAAGTCATATTGTCAGTCATTTTGTGATGTTTAGATTGTTAACTGAAGCCAGAAATAGAAGTATAATAATTTGGTTACCCGCCTAGCAACGTCTTCTGTGGCTAAAGCCCATTGTCAGAATATCGTTTTCAGCTTATATGACATTTCTGTGAGCTGAACCAATCCCCCTGTAGATGGACACTGTCGTCAAAATAAATACTCTCCATATAAACACTTAAACATATAAAGAAAGTAAACTTTTCAATCTCGCGTTATGAGTTATGAAGGTGACCCTCATACCTGGTGATCGATACTAGAGTTCTTATAAATTATGTAGATTTTTTTTGAAAATTTGAAAGCAAACATTTTTCGGGGGGAGGTTATATTCATAGTATTACATCAACGTAATATCCGGAACTGACTATTTTATGTATATTTTTTTCCCGAATTAGTCTCTGTATGTTATTTATATGTTTTGGTTGTGCAATTCCGGTTTCTGGAATAATGTGTAAAATTGGAAGAAGAATACGTTTCAAGTTTTCCTTTACATCATCCTCTCACATCGTACACACACTACGCCAGACATTTCAGAAGGGCAAGTCTTTGTAGTTTGATACATTGGTAATTCATTCGGACCTCTTTAGTCGCTTAATCATCCTTCGGATCTCCATATTCTGGAGTAATGATTGTGAATCTATTTGTCCGAATTAAAGAGGTTTCATTGCAATGACTTCTGAGATTGAACCACAACGAACCTTGTTAATACAGACGTTTTATTTTCCTGTGGTCAGAAATTACTTTTAATGGTTACTGATACATAATTCATTGTATTCGGCGTCCCCGTACTACTGCCAAAAACGGTTACTATGCACTGGAAACATTTGAATGGGCATAGCAAGAGCTGAAATAAAACATTTCTAAAAAAAACTAAAAAAAACAACGGAATCTATGAAAAATAAAAATATTTGCAAAAAGCAAAACGGTTTACTGAGATTAAAATTGAATGTGTCCATACCAGGATTCCAATCATGGATCTAAAAATCACAATGCGTTCACTTTTACCAACTGAGCCACCAAATGAACTCACTTTTCCTGGCCAATTCCCTCTCATTTTACCAAGCCCTTCGAATACTCGGTCCCAAGTGGAACACATATTTCGATTATATTAAAAAAAAACTTTACCAAGAAACGTTTCTTACAAAAAATGTTTATCATCCTTCACCTATACAAAAGGGGTAGTTTTTAATCGTTTTACCCCATTTTCCCTATGAGGTCCAACCCACCGCTGTCAACGTGCCCCCATATCCTTCATTTATCCTTCACCTAATCCTCTTGACCACGAGATGCTCCTGCACATTCAGCAATTTATGTAAAATTGAGTACATTTGGTTGAATGATTTTGGTTTGTTTGGGTTTTACGTCTTACAAACAACTATGGTCATTTAAGGACGTGCCAGGTTTTGGTGGTAGAGGGAAACCTGAGTTCCCGGAGAAAAACACCTACTTACGGCCAGAACCTGGCGACTGCCCCACATAGGTTTCGAACCCACGACCCAGTGGTGGAGGGCTAGTGGAAGCATCTCGGACGCATTAACCACATGGTTGAATGATGTCCCATAGTATGACGCGCAATAAATAAAATAGTATAGCAATATGTTTTGAAGAAATATTCTTGTTCTTGCTATTGTTCATAATGGGAGCGGCTCCTCGAACCGACAAGTCTTCATACTTCCTTTCTTCAACGTTGAATATCTGTGGTCAAACGGATATTCCATACAAACTGATGTACAAATTACACCACAGTTCCTTATACCTTACTTAAGGAGTAGTCTTTAGAATAGTTCAGAACCCATTCTCTGGTTGCTCTTTAAATCATACCCCCTTTAACCAGGCTAGGAATGATAAGAAACATTAGTATATGTTTTCTAGGAACGTATGACGACGGTCGCTTTGCCATTGCGTACGACAGATCGCCATCGACACTTGGAGCCGGGTGTCTGAGACAGTGACGATCTCTACTGCACAACCGGACGTCATACGAAACTAGAACTGTGTATGAGCCAGGCCAACATGTAGATATTTCCAATAGGAAATGTATAAAAGAAACACGTTGGCGTTTGATTAAAATAGGGTAAGTTAAAAACAAAACATTACACAACGTTTTCTGTATTTTTGTTATCATTTTATTGTGTTACTCATTCGTGAACTTTTCACTTTAATGGTATACAAATCTCTGTCGTTGTCAATGAATTATACAAAAACAATGTCATTGTATTACATTAAAAATATGTATATTTATGTACAAATACCTAATTTTTATTTGGCGCTTGCAATATATTTTTCGTATAAAGAAATAAAATAAAAAATCAACAAAACAACATAACAAAAAAGCAAAAAAAAAAAGACTATTAAACTGAAAACAGCAAAAATACAAACAAAATGAGACTATAAATGAAAATAATATCACACTTAAAAAGCAACACAAATGCAAAACATACATATTTTTTACAACACTAATAGTTTTAATGCAAACAATGGGGTTTCTGACATGAAGTAAGAGGCTGCTGTAAAGTATTCTACAATCTCCCAAAAATACTCGTTAAAGTATAAACTGATAACGCTATTTGTTTATAATCATTTAGGTTTGAGAATGAAAAAAACCAATCATACAGTACAATGTTTGTTCACTGGTAGAAAGATATGCTAATCATCATACACAATCATACCTGTATCTTCGTAGAAAAGTGACAAAGAAAAACAAGTACAGACTTAAAATCATGGGCTTATTTGCGGTAAATTCTTTAACATAAGCGACATGGTAAGCACTTTCATTGTAAAAATCTTAATATTGAACAGATATAAATATTATTTTATATTTATAAACAGCTGTGAACTTTACACGTGAGACATCTATAAACGTATTTTGTGATATATTGGTGACATTTTAGGTAAGAGCACTTGAAATGGAATACAAATAAGAAAATCCTTTTTACCACATGTTTAAGTTTCGGAACACCTAAATCGTAACAGATAGTAAAAATCAAAGTAAGCTGCATAGATATTTTGTATTAAAGGCACACGTTTCTACGCCGTTGTCTATCAGCATGTAATAACACCAATTTAATCATCTTGTAGATATGGACTAAGCTAAAGAATATTCACTGAAGTACAAATCATAATTCTAAAAAACACAATGATAGTTTCCGTTCTACATTTTAAGTATAAAATCTTCATAAACCAAGCAAAATGACCTTAAATAAATGTGAAACTGTCAAAAAGCAATTCATTGAAGCACTGAATAAAATCTATAAAACGGTATTCATTATGCTTTATAATGTAAAATCTTTTACCGAAGACAATGTTATTTGACTCAAAATCCTAGCGATAAAATCATTTCAAAATACTGGTTAATTGTAAATTTAATAAAATTATTAATTTGGTACAAAGACGTCAGCATGGATTGCGTTATGTAATTGAGCAACTGTCATTGAATAGAAATATAACCAATTTCATTACTACTTGCCTATCTGTATTGTCAGTTCACCCAGGATGATAATAAAGTCCAAAAACTTTAAACAAAACAAAATATTGAATGATACTTAACACAACAACAAAAAAAGTAAAATGTTAATATATAAAAAAAAGGTAATGTGTTTTTAGTATTCACACAGCACAAAATTACGATTATTTTGACCAGCAAAGTAAGAATTAACTGGACATTGATATTGCATAAGATCCCGAGGCATGGCACAGTTTTCAACAGGATAAACCTGTAACTTTGAAATACATATTAAAAATAAATTAATTGTGCATAAGTATTAAAGTAGGCACTACATATTCAGTTATAAAACCTGAAAACGTTATACATTATAAGTACTATAAAAGATAAATTTATATTGGTATAATATTCAATTCATTTTCATATTCTTACGCTACAGAACATATTGTGCATAAGTATTAAAGTAGGCACTACATATTCAGTTATTCAGTTATAAAACCTGAAAACGTTATACATTATAAGTACTATAAAAGATAAATTTATACTGGTATAATATTCAATTCATTTTCTTATTCTTAAGCTACAGAACATTACTTTATATCGCTACACAATAGTTTCTGTATACCAAACAATTTTAACTTATTTTAATGAAAAAAAATCACTATTTTGTTGCAAGATTAACACGACCTCACTTGATAAACTTGAAATCGTTCTGAAATATGAAAAATAATAACGTATTTGAAGAGTTAACTTTGTAATGATTATCATTCTGTTCATGATACAATGGAAACATTTTACCAAAGTACTTTTGAACTCAGAGTGTGAACGTCATTTTTGTAGAGTTGAATTTCGCGTAAATTTTAACATTAAATTTTAAAATTAATTAAATATCTCGATGTAAGGCTGTCATCACTATACCACTTTAAGAAGCACTTCGTTGTCTGAATAACACACATTTTACAACTATAGTAAAAATCAAATTAGACAGTCACATTCTCAGTAATCATAGCCAGACGAACATAATAAGCACATATTCACATTAAGTAACATACATATAGTATCCAACAAACTCCATGGAATGATTTCAGCTGTGTTGCATCACAAAAAGTAGTTTTCTCGTAATTCAATTTTTGTTTTTTCGTGAAGTGTTATTAACTTGGAAGTTTTCAGTTAAACACACGACGATGTTTTTATCAACGAGTGACGAGATGCTATCAGTATGCTAGCTCACTTCCCCATGGACGATAGGGTTTCACAGAGTTGTTATTGTAATTGTTCGAACCATTTTGTGACATCATACTTTGCATAGAGTTTAACGACACTGGGAACTGTCCGTGTAACTGAGGAAGCAAAGACGGCGACACTTGTTGTGCGGCAGCAGTGTTCATGTTAGACATTTGTCCGTGAATAGGCATATTCATACTAGAGGGAAGTCGGAGGTTTCCATGAAGGGACTCAGGTTGGCTGATCCGGGCCTCACTGAAGGACACTGATGAAATCCCTTGATGGGAGGAATGAGTGCTCATTGCTAACTCTGACTGGTTGTTCAAAGATCCCATAGACTGCATACTACTTCCGTTGGCGTACTGATTGGTGATTGGTGTATGCGGTGTCATGCTACTCCATGTTGAATTTTGAAGCGTGGCTTTGGCTGCAGCCTCTCTTTGGGCAGAGAAACACTGCAGATGACTCAATAATCTCATTCTCATAGGATCCTGCAAGTCCATTCCTTCCACAGCAACGAGATAACGCGCAACTTCTGATGCACATTCTCGGTACCCAACACCTCTGTAATCCACAGCAAGGTTGTGGGGGTCTGGATAATTATATCCGTTCATACCTGATTTATAAGAGAAATACTTATGAATAAATAAGATCTTTTTGATAATAAGTAAATTTATAAAACCATCATGCGGTGTGTCTATTTGTCGTTCTTATTGATAAATACTATAAAAAAAACCTTATAAACCACATTGTCAATACTTAAATGCATCAGTTAAATGAATTGTGTAGTTCATATCTCACGCATTGTAAACTCCAAACAGCAAACAATGTTAATCTGTTTGATGCAAATATGCAACAATGACAATAATTACCTTTCTGGTGCAGCAGTTTCAAGTGGTCAACGGTCATTTGTAAGATTTCAGCCTTCTCCAATTTTGCTGACCCCTTTAAAAAGAAATAAAATATGTATTATAGATGTATCGCAATTGTAATATAGTTCGTCCTAAGGACAATAAGAAGTTCTTTATGCCGTTCACATGCAAGATAAATGAAGTTATATTTCTATGTTTATCATGTGATGAAAAACGTTTTTCCTTCATCATTTAAGGGTAATTTTCAACATTAATTTACGAGATCAAAACTGTTTCTATTTACCTGTTTTTCAAATGCGGATGGAACAAGACGACGGAGTTCTGACAAGCTGTTGTTTATTCTGTCACGTCGACGCTTCTCAATAACCTGGAAAGGAAGAAGATGAAATAAAAAATATGCAAATTGAACGTTAGCCTTTTGAAAATATATCAACAATGTACGTATACTTATCTATTTCATGAAATATGGTGATTATAAAGCTATCTATCATAAATACAATACGGACATACGGTTTAGTATATGACCTACTTTCACTTTACCTGTATCGATCATGTGCTATCATTTATCATGGTGAACTCAAAATGACACACACGTTCTTTCAGTAAGGTAAACTTGATCCCATGAATATTCTATACCATGAAGAGATAGTAGATCGTAAGATATCAATCACTTTGGTATTGATTTGATGACTGCTATGGTGAATTAAACAAAGACTTACCCCACGTCTCTTTTTTCTGTCTGTAACATGGCAACTCTGGGAAGGTGACCCACTGTAAAGAAAAAATGCACGTATTTATTGACAGCAGAAATTAATATGTACTATTATAACCATCGTTGATTTGATTTTAGGCCATTGTTTGTAAAAGTGTGTCCATTGTTATGTGTCAAAGCTAAGCTAGTTCTATTGTATCAGATATAATGTAGTTGGTTAGACACACACAGTGTTTGCTGACCTGTTGACCCTTATAATATAATATAGCTTTATGAGATGTAAGTGCATGACACACCAGCCATTCACTGAGCTGTTTCAGATATCAGTGAAAACATGTTATATTTCACCTCGGTAGATCACACTGCCTTACTCCCATCACTGTGCTTGTAAAGTAATGGACGTCAGTTCGTACATAATACATATGTTGGGAGAAATAGCATGATGTCAATCAAGATGTTGTTGCTTAAAAATAGTTATTATCTATGATAATATATGAATGACAATTGGATTGAAGATATGGCTACATATCCATGTGAAAAAACCTCTTAAGATAACAAATAGAGGAAAAATTCTAAGGACTATACTGAAGCCGTGGGAACATGAAACATTTTGACATTATCAATATATTTCCCACCCTGTCAGAAACATTCCCAGACCTCCCCTTCCTTGTCAAAACTAGAGGTGTGTCTTGATTAGAAAAAAATCATCGATCAGAGATACTCGTATATGCATTCTGTGTCAACACGAACCTTTTGTGGGGTATTTGAATATCAGCGTTCTCATTTTTTGCAGTAACTTTATAATATAAAATAATTGCCTATTGTTCCTGAACATGTGCATTGTATGAAGATGTGCGATTGTGTTTTGTTTAAAACACAAATCTATTGTTCTAAGTGTTAAGTTACATTGTGTATTAGTTAGATCTCTAGTTAAGCATCTCTGATGTTATTCGTTACAAAATCATTTGTTCAATCTAATTGTTATGAAGTTATTTGTTTTATCGTAATTTTTCATTTATCTTGTATGAAACAACCATATTGAAAAGAATAAACAAATATCTTGATAACCCTGAATCAAAAGAACACATGTATATTTAAGAATTGTGGGAAAATGTAGGTATACGTAACTTCTAACTGTATTTTGACGTATTCCAGGGCTAAACCGATGATAATCAGTCATTATCTGCTAATATCTCCAGTTAGCCTGGGCGATAGTACCAGTCTATTCTTATTGGTGACAACACTTTAGTGATTTTGATCAATTTTAAAATTTGCATTTGTTTTACAATCCAAAAACAATAGAAAAATACACATGTATAGCGAGTTGTTTTAACTTTACGAGACCTCACACAACTTAAATACAATGCTTCAAAATGTGTATTTGGTATTCTGTAAACAAATCAAAATGATTATATCTTAAACAATAGTTTAAAACCAAGTCTATCTCCCCAGGAAAATAAACAGGGTTGATGTGTATCTGTACTTGAGATATCTATCAATATGTATGGGGTTAATGGCTAAAGGTCTTCAGGGCCCCACGTGCAGTCATGTGTATAACACAAGACAAGCCCTCGGCGCACATGTGCTGTGAACGACGTTACGATAATGTTATGATGTAAGTAAGCACGATTCTTACCTTGATTTCAAATCGTCATCGAATAAGCTCTCACTGTCACTGTCGCTCAAACTGCGCTTCATTTTTCCTCAGCGGAAAACGAAATTTGTAAAAGAGTATTAGAAAACGGATGCTTGCTCTTTCCTGAACGCTGGTCGGTTTGGTCTGCCTCGTGCGTTCCCACGGTATAAATCCATTAAAAATTTGTCCGTCGGCTGAGCGCACACCTCCCCCTGTTTGTTTTCATTGGTTGAGTGACAGGCGATCGCTTGCCAGACATGCGTAGATTTTCAGAAACTGATGCTCACACGCGCACTGATTGGCTAACGTCCGTCACGAGTCAGCCAGATGGCCGGCCCGTGTCATGGATATTACAAAGAAACTACTTGTGACATGTGCCAGCATGGTTGATGAAAACAATCATCCACGTGTGGCTAGTGGTCGTCAGCGATGGCCACGGCCACAAACCGAGATGATTTAATCCAAATATTGACAAAAAATCTTCAATTTATATTTCACATTGATATAATAAGACTCTATCTTGATTTATTTAATTCCTATAAAAATTCGTAGACATTTTTTAGACGAAAATATTTATTTATGATATTCCCTACTGCGGTATACAGAGCTGGGTCGTGTGCAGGTGATATTACCAGATCAACAGTTAGAGTGTTTCGTGGGAACCGCGGACTTTAAACTATTCCAGACGAGTAGCGATAGAGGCCGAATGTGTGTACGCAGTTTTAATTTCTCGCCTTCTCCCGGCGTCTGCTGGTCCCGTGTGAAAGAAATGCTCGAATTTTTAACCCAATTCACATAACTTTAAATGACAAACACAGCACACATTGAAGGTACGATCCACACTGCACATACACTACTGTGTGTGTTTACTTACCCGGTACAATACTATTCAACGACAGGTGCGCTTTCTGATCGCGGGAAGTCTTATTATGTATCTAAAAGGATATTTCAATATGTGAAGGTTTACACAAACAATGCCTCTTAAATTTATTGTTATATACTTTCACGTACCTCTATGAATATACTGTATAACCATTTGTCCCTTTCAATGTAAAGGTAAATATACATTACGTCACAGAAGAATAAAAATAAAATATTAATAAAAAATATAAATATTATTTTTGTTACGTCAGTTGAACAATTTACAAAACAGTGTTTTTATATTGCATTTTTACCTATATGACTTAATCATCAGCAACCAATGTTTAATAATTATGTTTACAGAAAACAATGTAGTAAATTACTATATTTGTAGTTGTGATATATTAAATCACAATATTTATAGTAGTGATATATTAAATCACAATATTTATATTATATTATGTCAACGAAAAATGCTACTTACAGAATTATTCCCATGAAACAATGTTTATGGAAATGTATTTCATTATTAAATCTTGTTATTATTAATACTTTTAAGAAACGTCCGATAAACAGTCCGGAACTATATTTTTTATTTTATTTTATTTTTGACATTAGTAGACAATACAAAGTGGCGTTCGGAAGTGTGATTTCATTGGTGATGTCCGAATTAAATAGTTAAGGCTATACACTGATTGTCATTAAGGAAATACTGTAATTACCTTAAGCAGGTTATATTGTTCGTGAAAAGTTGTGAATAATGGATATATACGTTCGAGATATCGGGATTTCCTTCACTCGAGCAACAGTGGTGCAATCACCAACGATATCCCACGGTGAGGCGGTATACCATACATGCGGCTACAATTAGAGGTTTATATATACCCCTTGTCAGTTTTTTTACGACCCTACTCTCACTTGTTACAGTGCTAAGCACAGCGACGGGGGACCCTTCCCACGGGTATATAGCGCGCACACTAGAGGCATACAGAAACCAGGGGATAGGCTTCATAGAGTGACTTATTTGAGTTGTACATTTCAAATATATTTTCTTCTCAACCCAATTAAAAACAAAAATGTTGTTTTTATGATTTTCGGATTGTTTTGAGCCCCTGATTGAAATATATGTGATTCGAATTCGACCTTAAATGTGTCTCGTTAAGACGCATGCATCCATGTCTAGACTAATTTCAGAAAATTTGTTGGGCTGTTTAGCTTTCTGTCAGTGCAATTATTAATACGAAAACATCCTCCATACTGTATGTACGACTTAAAGGCTGATATCAGTCTGGTATATAAATGGTGTCTTTCTGCTTTTATTACATTGGATAATCATGCTGGAATATGTTTGAAAGATAGTTTCATTGTAATTTTATTGTTTCTGGGACTATCTTTTAATTAACTTTCTAGACGCTTTAAAGAATTATTAAAGTCGGACAAGATTCAAGCTTCATAATTACATTCATCGTAGAAAAATAGGAACACTTTCATTATTTGTTTCCTCAAATCAATATCTAAACATAACATGAATTTATAAATCCATTTTTTTCAGGTGGTAATCATAGTACACATATTAATCCATATCTATATATTTATGTTGTTTTAAATTATTGAAATGTCAGTATTTAAAACTTGATTTAAATTTGTTCAAATCCATAGCTATTGTGATGGCAATGTATCTCGAATTGATATGCTACAGATGGTGCCTGATATTGGAGATAAAATAATAGTAGCTGTTCGTTTGATTAAATGAGATGTACGACTTTTTGTACTTTTATCAATTAATGAGTGAGTGACCGCATGTTACTTGCGGTGCTTAAATATCTGATTTTACGAATGATTAAATAACATTTAAGATTGTGTATTAAATGTCGGAGCTTCTACCAATTATTGATTGAGTGACCAATGAAATACTTACGATTTAGTCATGCACTATTTACTTTTTATTGTAATACTATATATTATATGGGGTTTACATGTTTCCTCCTTTTTTCCCCTTTCACATCTGACCCTCTCAATATTTTAATAATTTTGACAGATTGAAGTACTAGTAATTTTAATTACGGTTTTTGTAACGTTTTCGATTTCGTTTCCCCATTGCCGTCTGTTAATTTGGATGAGAGACCTGCATGTGGTACTAGTAGATGTAGTTTTGCCTACATTCAGAGTTGCGCACTAACTATCCTTGCTTGGTTATCTATTAGTTGTACATCTGCCTGGCTACTAATTTAGAAATTCCTTACTTTCAAAACCTAAACTGGGCCATATGAAGACGAGTGTGCAGGAAGATATCGTCAGAAAGAAATAGTGAGAAAAGAGAGAAAAGAAAAGTGAGAGGTCCTAGGTAAGGCAGCAATCTCGAAGTAGAGGGCTAATCCCGGTGTCAAACTCGGACGATTATATGATGCTTTAGATTTTGTTTCATCGTTCACATTACAAACGGAAACAATGATTATTTATTGAATGATCAGTAAAATACTAACGCACGGTTTTATAAGAATTTAGTTTTCTTGCCTTTTAATTTTTGATCAATAAGGGGGAAAAAAGACTTCGTGTCCTTGTTTATATTTCAAACGGAAACAATGGTTATTAATTGAATGATCAGTGAAGTACTAACATACGTTTTTATAAGAATTAAGGTTTTGGTGAGCATTTTATTTGTTCTTTTGAATTTTTTTCTCAGTTATGATGAAGCTTCCTATTTTTAAGTACGTTGAAATTGTTGAAAAATGTCATTTTTGTGTTTGATTTGACAATTGTTTTATTCTTGATTGTTACCTCAATATAGAACTTTGAATTACCATAGCTCTCTAGAACATAATGATATTGATATGGTTGATTATATGTATCAAAATATTGAAAGATCAATGACAGTAACACTCAAATATATTATTAAGATGGTTGATTCTTGTCACTAAGTATAGAATCTTAATAAAAGCTGTACTTTTGTGTGTATGAAATATTAAGATGGTATTTACTTTTGACCTTTACGTTTTTCATTATTGACCTTTATAACCTCTCTTGTGTTGATAAGCCGTTATAAGCATGCAGTAATAAAAATATTATTTTCCTGGAATCAAGATACGGAAAACTCAATTTTCACTCTTGTTGGTATATAATTATAAAATGGTTGATAATTGTTACACAATATAGAAAATCATTAACATAAAATAACATTACGATTGTGTTCTTCCTACCACAATGGAATGTCTCACTCTCCTGTTATCAAATCAGTTAAGGATGGAATGACACGAATGTTAATAATATAAGCTTGTATTTGAGGCTATACAAATCTGGTTTTCACTATGTAAAAATAACAAGTAATAAAACTTTGAGGAATTGCCTGATTCAAGCAATTTACAGCGATAGTAATCTTGAAAACAAGACATTATCATCAATAACTTATTTTGGATATGGTTTTAAGTTGTTTGTAAAGTATGAAGACGAACACAAATCTTCAATGTACACCATATATTACCATAGGGAAATATATTTTGAAAAATCTAATATCTGTTGATATTTGTTGTATACAAATCATCTTTTTTGAGTACATATATGAGATTTTCAAAACGATATTACTGAATACATGCATTGTGTAGCTTGTTCCAGCATTTATATAAAAAAACATTGTCACGATATTTGTTTCAAAATGAATTCCAAGGATTTGTTTAAGTTATGTTTACGTGCAATTCGGATTTATTTTACATTTCGATCACTGTAGGTCAATTAAGATATTTAGGGAAGGAAGAAAAACGAAAGTATTATTTTCTATAAAGCGGCATAGTCTGATTTATTAAAACTTCTTAAAATTAATTATTTATATGTTGGAAAAGACAAAACGATATTTGTTTGATCAGATAATCTGTTTTTCACTTTTTAGTTTACAATGTGTTCCGTTCATACTGCAGATCAATATACTTTTCGAAACTGTTTGTAGGGAACTTTAAAAAATGATTACATTGTCCTTGATAATTGCCATTACAATCCTCCTCGATTCACTTCAGCAAACAAATATCGTCATTTTGATATCAAGTAGATATTTTGATATTATTTTTGTCTTCATAGTTAAGACAATACATTATTAATAATTTGCTTAATACTTATTAACGGAAGACAAGAAACAGTAAAAAATAAATTATAACCTCGAATAATAACATTGTCTTTCATATTTTATGGAAATTATTCTTATGTATAAATCTTTTTTTAAATTAATAAGACGGCAGAAATAATGCGATTAATAAAGTGGCTGTAAGTGCAATTATTTAACAAAATAAAAATGTATATACAATTTCAGCA